ACTATTTTTAGAATTGCGTGTTTCTATTTATAGAATTGCTTTTTTCTATTTTTAGAATTGTGTGTTTCTTATTATAGAATTGTGTGTTACTATTTTTAGAATTGCGTGTTTCTATTTATAGAATTGCTTTTTTCTATTTTTAGAATTGTGTGTTTCTTATTATAGAATTGTGTGTTACTATTTTTAGAATTGCGTGTTTCGAATTGCGTGTTTCTATTTATAGAATTGCGTGTTACTATTTATAGAATTGCGTGTTGCTATTTATAGAATTGTGCTATTTATAGAATTGTGTGTTACTATTTATAGAATTGAGTGTTTCTATTTACAGAATTGCGTGTTAAGATCGGAACTTTTAAGAATCATTATTTCACAAAGGTGACATTATACCGCCTTTAATCATTGCCGCCGCTGCTTAAGATAAACAAACTGTCAATAAAAAATCTTTAATCAATGCTGCCCTTAATTAAATGTATCCTTGATCGCAAAACCAATTAATTACAATTATTTTACAGCTGCAGAAATGTATTGACGAAATAAAGATTATTTTAACAAAAAAATGCGTTTTGTTTTGTTTATATTCATGTCAATATAGACAAGCAAAATGTATTTAAAGTCCATTAAAAATACCTTTCAAATAAACAATATTATAACATATATATGTTCAACAGCTCAAATAAACAATATTATAACATATATATGTTCAACAGCTCAAATAAACAATATTATAACATATTATGTTCAACAGCTCAAATAAACAATATTATAACATATATATGTTCAACAGCCACGGGAGGGAAATTGTCCGCTCTGACAACAGCGGGAGGTGAATTGTCCGCTCTGCTAAAATAACGGGAGGGGAATTGTCCGCCCTATAAAATTAACGGGAGGGGAATTGTCCGCCGTAAAAAATTAACGGAGGGGGGAAATGTCCGGGTTGTGAAAAAACATTCAAATTTACTGGGAGGGGATTCGTCCGGGAGGGGAATTGTCCGGATACCATATTGAATATCTTGAAATTGTATTTTGAAATAGAATTATAATAATATTGCTGAAAACTTAATATCTCAAGGACTTGAATCATCAAAATCAGGCCCGTCATCACGATATTATGATTTGTGCGTCCAATTTGGTGGTTCTAGAGGGATAAGAGGGCAAGCTTTTTATATTCTAGTATGCTATCGGGAGCATTTTCTTTCGTGTATTTGGCACAGTTTACAGTCTGCCGTAGTATAGTACATATTATTTTGGCATATGCCAATGTTTTTTTTACAAAGATTTGTGCATTGTAAGTTTAAAGAGTAAAAGGTTGACTACCGATCGCATAACGGACGGACAGTTGTACATAAGATATGAATAATTAAATTTAAACAAATGAAAAATAAACAGTTATTGATGTATAATGTTATAGTTCTTCTGTTATATTTTTATCTGATTATTATAATTAAACATTTACATACAAGAACAGTTACTTAAGCAGAGTGTGTTCACAATGATTTAAGCTTAATTATCAATGATCAGAGTCTCATATTTTATGTTAATTTTCCAAAAACATATCGCTGTCATTCGTTTTAAAAGCGAAAATAAATTTGGTTGATTTGGTTCAGATGGAACTATATCACATGTCATGATAGCTTAATATTCTAAACTTAAAATACTTGACAAATGCAAAGAGCAGTAAAGATTAAAGAATTATGATGTTATATTTTGAATATAAATGTATATAAATGATAAACTGTCCAAAGCCACGTCAATGTCAATTAATGCCAATAAAGATAACTTCACACTTGACTTTGTAGTACCCCTGCATGTACCTGGTCAATTAACATGCAGTGTCCAGTTATTTAGCACCAGGTTCGTATATTAATTATCGCGCCTTGCATAAGGGGCCAGTTAAGTGTCATATTACTAATCAGCGACGCGTGTTTTTGTTATTATACCCCAACCACAAAATGGGGGGGGGGGGCTGTAATGGATTTGCTTTGTCGCGTCCGTCCATCTGTCCGTCTCCATTATCATGTCCGCTCTATAAATCCTATACCAATTTAGGGATTTTCTTCAAACTTGGCTCAAATGTTCACCTCAACAAGGGGATGTGCAGAACCCATGTTGCCCATGAGTCAGGTCAAGGTCACAATTGAAGGTCAAATATCAAACAATCAAATATTAGACAGTATGTCGTGTCCGCTCTGTAAGTCCTACACTAATTGAAAGATTTTCTTCAAACTTGGCTCAAATGTTCACCTCAGCAAGGGGATGTGTAGAACCCATGTTGCCCATGTGTCAGCTCAAGGTCACAATTGAAGGTAAAATATCAAACAATCAAATATTAGACAATATGTCGTGTCTATCTGTAAGTCCTACACTAATTGTTCATGACCAGCAGATAACCCCTAGGGGTCAAAGGTCAAGGTCACATTGACCTTGTAGGTAAAAACAGTTTCTGAGTAATAACTAAAGAACCCTAAGGCCTAGGAACTTCAAACTTAGTATGATGATTGTTCATGACCAGCAGATGACCCCTTTTGATGTTGGGGTCAGGGATCAAAGGTCAAGGTCACATTGACCTTGTAGGTAAATACGGTTTCCAAGTGATAACTAAAGAACCCTTAGGCATAGGAACTTCAAACTTGGTATGGTGATTGTTCATGACCAGCAGATGACCCCCATTGATTTTGGGGTCAAGGGGTCAAAGGTCAAGGTCACATTGTGTGGCGGCGTGGCCGTGTGGTTAACGCGTCGGACTAGTAATCTAAGGATTGCTGACCGCGTGGGTTCAAACCCTGTCAGGGGCAAGCCGTTGTTTCCTTGAGCAAGAAACTTTACATTCATTGCTTAGTACTGGTTGGTTCCAGGAACGGATTCTGGAGTGTTTCAATAAGCTTATAGCTTCCAACACAATCAAACTAAAATAAATTTGTATAAACTAAACTAAGGTCACATTGACCTTGTAGGTAAAAACGGTTTCCGAGTGATAACTTAAAATTCCTTCAGCCTAGGCACTTCAAACTTAATTTGATGATTGTTCATGGCCAGCAGATGACTCAATGGGGTCAAGGGGTCAAAAGTCAAGGTCACATTTACCTTGTAGGTAAAAACAGTTTCAGTTCAATAACTGAAAGAACGCTTAAGCCTAGGAACTTAAAACTTGGTTTGATGATTGTTCATGACCAGCATATAACCCCTGTTGATTTTTTGGTCAAGGGGTCAAAGGTCAAGGTCACATTTACCTTGTAGGTAAAAACGGTTTCCTAGTGATAACTAAAGAACGCTTAGGCCTAGGTACTTCAAACTTGGTATGATGATTGTACATGACTAGCAGATGACGCCTATTGATTTTGGGGTCAAGGGGTCAAAGGTCAAGGTCACATTTACCTTGTAGGTAAAAACGGTTTCCAATCAATAACTTGACAACCAATGGGCTGTTGGCCCTCAAACTTGGAAGGGGCATTGGTCTTGGCCAGTAGATGACCCTAATGATTTTGGGGTCAGGGGAACGAAGGTCAAGGTTGCATTGACCTTGTATTTCAAAATGGTTTTCTATCAATAACTGGACAACCCATGGACCCTTGACCTTCAAGTTTTACAGATTTATTGCTTTTGGTCATAAGATGACCTCAATGGATTTTTGGCGTTAAGGTGTCAGAGGTGAAGATCACATTGACCTTATAGGTAACAACACTTTCTGATCAATATCCCAACTCATGGGCCCTTTAACCTTATGACTTCACAGGTGCATTGGTCTTGGCCAGTAGATAACCCCTATTGATTTAGGGTCAAAGGTCAATGTCATATTGACCTTGTATGTAAGGACTGTTTCTGACCAATAACTCAACAACTCAAGTTGCCTTGGTTGATATTTTTCATTAAACTAAAAATCCTTTTGATATACACATTTCAAGGTCTTATGTAATATAACAACTTGGCTGTCATTAATGAGGCCTACATGATTCATAAAAATTCATAAAATTTATTCATATATTATTTGGTAAGATTTGAAATAACTTTGTCATAAAATTGCTGTACACAACCTTTGCGGTCACATTTACCTAGTGACTAGTCATGACCAGTAATTAACCCTTATTGATTTTGGTCACTAGGTCAAAAGTCAGTCATAATAAACTGATCACATGACTAATTGGCTGCCGATAGGGGGCATACATGTTTTACAAACATATATTGTTACACATGTATTTGTTATGACCGTTAAAAAACAATTACTACCTGCACTTATCACATTTTAATTTGTTACGTTATAAAAACTGTGACACATGGTAAGTAATAGTTACTGTAGGAGGAACAGGTCTGCATAGTATTTACAGACCCAGGTGAAGACCAAGAGAGCGTAGCTATGAATTTGATATTGATATATCAGTTAATGATACCTGATTGATAAACAGGTAAAAATGACGTCTGATTGATAAACAGGTAAAAATGAACAAAAGAGCGGATTAACACTGACCTGTGTATGATTTCACACCTTCTGGGCTCACGAGTGACCTAATTATGACCGTTTATTGTACTTGACTGGCACATTGAACAAGCGTTATAGCAGTTACGGAGCAGTATCAATATACATGAAAAAAATTATGATGGGCGAAAAAAAAAGATTTCTTTTTTTGGAAGGAAAGGCCTATGAGCGTTGTATTAGAGTTTTATCGGAGAGCGCTAAATTGAGGCTCCAGTGTATATATCACTTTACATGTGTCTTTTTCTACGCTACAATGAAAACATTAAAAACTTGCTCCTGTTATACTGTATTTATTAGGCATAAAAAAGAGAAAATGTGTATGTCTTTTTTTGTGAATGTGCTATATATATCACACAGAGAAGTGAGAAAATATCCACATTTTCACTCATGCTACAAGCATGTGAAAATATTAAAAATTTCTCACTTCTCAGTGTGATGTTTAGCATATTCACTTAAAATGGAAACAAATATCCTCTATAAACAATTAATACTATTGTACAAAATTGTGCTCATCTCTGATGTATACATGTAGATTTGTGAGGAGGAAGGGTTTGTCAAGATTGGTGTTAGTTTTGATGATGACAAGGAGATTAAACAAACAAAACCATGGAAGCAAGCTTACAGGATCTTTCACAATGAGGTAAATATTTCATGACAATCATTTCACACTTTAAATTTAAATGCTAGCAATAAAGAAGCAGATCTATGCCAGAAATCTGTGCAGATGGACAAGTCTCTATTTTGACTGGTGACCTACTTTGAATATTTCAATGTGACATCACTAAGATTGATGATTGATTGTTATGCTTCCTGAAGGGTGAGCATATAGTCGCAGTTTTGCCCGTCAGTACCTCGGTACGCTATTCTTGTCTGGGACATATAACTTTGAAACAACAAGGGGTATCAACACGAAACTTTATAGGTAGATAGATCTTATTGAGTAGAAGTGCTGTGCAAAAGAACCATAACTCTGTCTTGCCTTATTTTGGAGTTATTGACCTTTGTTCATTTTTAGCTCGACTACGAAGTATATGGAAAGCTGTCCTACTCGCCCCGGCGTCCGCGTCCAGATTTCAGATTAAAGTTTTGGTGCAGTAAAATGTTTTTCCCTATAACTTTGTCATTTCTTAAGGTATCAACTTCAAACTTCAAATATATGTTCCTCATCATCAACCACATATAAAGTGACAAAGTTCATAACTCTAGCACCAATATTTTCAGATTGATCTCCCCTTGAACATAGAATTTTCCTTAAAAAATACTATTTTTTACTGTTGCTTCTTTATTTCTTAAGGGATGAACTTCATACTTCATATATATGTACCTTATCATCATCCACATCTTATGTGACAAGGTTCATAACTCTAGCACCAATATTTTTAGGTTTATCTCCCCTTGAACATAGAATTTTCCTAATAAAAAATAAATATTTTTTACTGTTACTTCTCTTTTTCTTAAGGGATCAACTTCATACTTTAAATATATGTACCTTATTATCATCCACATCTTATGTGACAATGTTCATAACTCTAGCACCAATATTTTTAGATTTATCTCCCCTTGAAGTTAGAAGTTTCCTTAAAAAATATTATTTATTACTGTTACTTCTTTATTTCTTAAGGGATCAACTTCATACTTCAAATATATGTACCTTATCATCATCCACATCTTATGTGACAAGGTTCATATAACTCTAGTGCCAATATTGCAAGAATTATCTCCCCATAAACTTAGATTTTTTACTAGAAATATGTTATTTTTTACTATAACTTTTTTAGTTTTAAAGGTATCTACCTCAAACTTCAAATACTTATTCCTTATCATCAATTACATTTTATGTGACAATGTTCATAACTCTTGAAGCAATATTTACAGATTTATCTCTCTTTTAACTTAGGATTTTCTTTACAAAATATTAAAATTTCTTTACTTTTTAAGGTAACATCTACTTCAAACTTCAAATATATATTTCTTATCATTACACACATGTTGTGTGACAAGGTTCATAACTCTAGCATGACTATTTCTAGAATTATTTCCCTTGATCTTGGAATTTATGTTAACAAATGTTATTTTTTTACTTAAACTTCAAACATAATTATACATAATTGATTTTTCTTCATAGTTTTGTCTTCCTTGCTGCGTTCAGTATTTTATTAGTCGAATTTCGCTGTCTCCTGTGACAGCTCTTGTTACTTTTTGAACCTGTCCCGGACATAACTCTTAAATTATGAGAGATATAATCAAAGTGCTGAAGGACATTCTTGAAGGATCAAAATTACCAATTTTATTTGTTTGGGTCGTCAGACCAAACAAATAATGGTAGCGAAATTTCAGACTCTGATGCTGTTAATTGCAAATGCCGAAAGTAGTCCGCTTTTTTGAAGCGGTTACTTCCCTTTATATGTAAACTAACGCCGAAAAATTCAGGGGAGATCACTGCGTAAAGATGGTCAAGTGACAGGCGCATTAATTTTCAAGCAAAGTAGTTCCCCGAATGGTCTAAGATTTCTAATATTGTTTTATTCTTTAAAGATATACATGCTTATAGTAAGCTCCATGATTATTTACATCTGTGTTAAACAACAGGTAGCATCGTTACAAACCCTAATTTAGAACAATATGGTTTTCTTCAGGCCGTTAACATATAAATTCACCGTGGCCGAGGGATTAGTGCGATCGCTTAGGAAGCTAGAGGTCTGGAGTTCAAATCCCAGTTAAGGCAACTCTTTTTTTCCAAATTGTTTAAGTCAAATAAACATTGAATTGAATATCAGTGTTGCAATTAGTCTTATAGCCAATTTACTACAATTAAAACGCTGGAAAGCATTGGTGGCACTATACAAAAACAAATTGGTTTATAATCTTACAACCTTCACCTTTCTGACATTCTTAGACCCAAACAAATTCAGCGCCTTCTGTGCTTTGATTTACTATTTCGGGGGCAGATAATTCAATGAGTGAAGGGTGTTGCCGGTTGATAAATATAAAGTGCACATTATAGTAAATGAACAGTAGTTGATAGAATTATGCTATGGCATACATGTTCAAATATAATATTTAGGTTACATGTACATGTAGGTCCATCACAACCTGTTATTGGCCCTTTTTGACAAGAGCAACAAGTGAAATAAGAGCTGCCAGAGGAAACTGCAAGCTCGACTAATTTTTAACACATGACATAATAAAGGGAGATAAAACTATGAAAAAATAATCAATTATGACATAAATATATTTCTGTATTAGTATCAAGAAAACACTCAAATGGTCAATATTTTTGCATCACATTATATGAATGTGGCCATGTCATTAAAACTGATGATGGCTTTTGTACACTGCACTTCTCATCCTAATTCTCTTTCACTGTGTGAAGTTTCAATCAAATTCCTTTAATATTTGAATACTCTCCTTGAACAAGTATCATGAAATGATATAAATGGAGATAATTCAAAAACTAAGTAATGTAGAATTTTGGTTATTTGACACAGCACTTCTGCTCCCTAGTCTCTACAACTGTATTAAGTTTGAGTGTGATATCATTGAAAAGATTTACTCCAGACAACCAACATTTTAAATTTTGATGTGAAATAAGAGATAATAATTGTAAAATTAAGCTAGGAAAAATTATGGTTTTTAGCTCGACTATACGAAGTATATGGAGAGCTGTCCTACTCGCCCCGGCGTCGGCGTCCGCGTCCAGATTTCAGATTAAAGTTTTGGTGCAGTAAAATATTTTTCACTATAACTTTGTCATTTCTTAAGGTATCAACTTCAAACTTCAAATATATGTTCCTTATCATCAACCACATCTTATGTGACAAGGTTCATAACTCTAGCACCAATATTTTCAGATTTATCTCCCCTTGAACTTAGAATTTTCCTTAAAAAATACTATTTTTTACTGTAACTTCTTTATTTCTTAAGGGATCAACCTCATACTTCAAATATATGTACCTTATCATCATCCCCATCTTATGTGACAAGGTTCATAACTCTAGCACCAATATTTTCAGATTTATCTCCCCTTGAACTTAGAATTTTCCTTAAAAAATACTATTTTTTACTGTTACTTATTTATTTCTAAAGGGATCAACCTCATTCTTCAAATATATGTACCTTATCATAATCCACAACTTATGTGACAAGGTTCATAACTCTAGCACCAATTTGCAAGAATTATCTCCCCATAAACTTAGATTTTTTTTTACTAGAAAAATGTTATTTTTACTATAACTTTTTTAGTTTTAAAGGTATCTACCTCAAACTTCAAATACTTATTCCTTATCATCAATTACATTTTATGTGACAATGTTCATAACTCTTGAAGCAATTTTTACAGATTTATCTACCCTTTGAACTTAGGATTTTCTTTAAGAAATATTATAACTTCTTTACTTTTTAAGGTATCTACTTCAAACTTCAAATATATATTTCTTATCATTGCACACATGTTGTGTGACAAGGTTCATAACTCTAGCATGACTATTTCTAGAATTATTCCCCTTGATCTTGGATTTTATGTTAACAAATGTTATTTTTTTACTATAACTTAATACATAATTATACATAATTGATTTTTCTTTCATAGTTTTGTCCTTACTGCGTCCAGTATTTTATTAGTCGAGCTTCGCTGTCTCCTGTGACAGCTGTTGTTTGAAAATACACTTCCTTTCACTTGAATGTTTTGCTGTGTTAAATTTTAATCAAATTCCAACAACTCGAATTCTCTGGACAAGCATAATTAAGTACATGTATTATAAAGGGAGGTAATTTTAAAACCAAGGAATGTAGTTATGGTTCTTTGACACTTTGACAAATTCGAGTCTGTACAACTGAGTGTAGTTTCAGTGATAGTTTGGAAGTAAAACTCCAAATAAGCATTTTTGACTTGAGGGAGATAATCAAAAACATTAAGCAAGGTAGAGTTATGTTTCTTGAACACTGCACTTCCTCTCAAAAGTCTCTATCACTTTGTGAAGTTTACATAAAATCCCTTCAATATGTATCTACTTATATTCATATTCCGGACAAGAGTGTGAAGGACGGACGTCTTCCTGAGTTCAAAATGTGGGTTTTTAGCTCACCTTGCACCGTGCAGGTGAGCTTTCAGGATGGCCAATCATTTGCGTCAGTCGTCCAGCGTCCCTCCACATTTTATTCAAACGACATCTTCTATGATACCACTTGGCCAATATTAATGAAACTTGGCACGAATACTCTTTATATGAAGCTCTATCAAGGTTGTTCAAAGAATTCAATTCCATGCTAAACTCTGGTTGCTATGGCAACTAAAAGAAAAAACTTAAAAATTCTTATACTTCAAAATGGATAGAGCTAGCTCAGCTTAGATATTTCTCACAAGGCATTGGCTTGTATATTCAAATTATAGTCCAGAGTTGAAAATTGGTCTCTGTTTTGGTGGTGAAAGGGTTTGATTATTGAGGGATACATAGACTTTCTTTGTAGAGATAAATTGAGATATTGTATATTGTATTTTTTGTTCCAACTGACATTGTTATGAAGATTTTTTCTGTTAAGGTTTTAGATAGATGAAAAGGTTGTTGAACAGAGTCAATCAGAATAGCACAAATTCAGAGCTACAGTGAAGTTGATTCCCTATTCATTAATGGATTCTTCCAT